CTACCTGTAGATTTCTCTTCTTTGACTATGTTTTCACATTCATTTACTAAATAGAAACTTACAGTCGAGAATAGTTTTAGACTCTAACTTTTCAGTAGAAACCAGTCGTTAGCCTCTTCAGACACAGCATCAGTGAGTCCAGTTTTCATCCTGCTGATTGACTCATATCTCATTAATCTTCAACAAAAAGTTCCATCTGTGGCTTTAACTTATTGTTTTGGTTTCTTAATTGTTAAAACTAGTTTAGCACAGAGTAAATTTAAGTGAGTGGTTCGACAAAAAGAAGCAGAGGATGTTTAAAATGGTAGAAAAAAACCTTCGGCTTTATTAAGTTTTTCTTTTCCAACATTAAGGTGAACTAGACCAGTTGATATTTTCAGCTTACTATGACCTGGATGACCGAGAATCTGCACGGACAACAGATCTGCCAGTTTTTGAGTTGCTGCTTAAAACTTATTTTCCAAGGCCATTGAATCATATTAATGTTTACATGCAGACCTGTCATGGATTGGGCACAGTTCCATTGCGGTCCAGCCGGCAAATTAAAGTTGGTTGCATCTATCCATCCATCCATCTTCCTCCGCTTATCCGGAACTGGGTCACGGGGGCAGCAGTGTAGTGGTTAGCAATAAAACAAGGCTCCAGAGGTGATATGTAATAGAACAGTATGTAGTTCATATAGATATTATTTGGGTTAGTTGTGTAAGGATGTAAGGCTGAGCTAAGTGTGTACGGAAGCTTGATCTGTTTCTCTTCTCTTGCTCAAGCAGGAATATCTTGGGCTGTGTCCCCCTTGTTTAGCCTATGGGTCAACATCCTGAGTGACTTCCTCCTCAGATAGGGAATGGATATATTGTAGCTGTAGCCTTACGTGAACTGTTCATGTGCTGTTCAGATTTAGAAAAAGGAAATGTGCGCTAGGTCAATGCGACCCAGAGGTTCAGGTATTGGACAGTTTAGACAATGCTAGGAAGAAGATGTGTGTGGGTAGCTGGCATGGGACCGCGTCTTCATGGGTTCGGCCATGCAGGGCTGTGTGAGTATGAGCAGATAAAGGCGGGGTGAGAGCAGAAGAAGAGAGAGAGAGGATGACCATGCTACCGTGAACAGTGTATCACAAGCCCGGCCTCGGAGGGCCGGGGCGAAATGACGACGGACTGGGGGTTGACAGGGGGACCGACATCAAATGGCTTGACTGACTGGCGCTCTGACAATCTTCGTATGCTTTATCCATCACATTGCAGGAGGAGAGTCTCTGTTTTTTGATCTGTTATCTGTTTCCCTACCTACACGATTATGTGTTTAA